TGAAATGATCAGTTTCATAAATGAATGTCAGTGGTATCTAAACAGTAATAACTTTTTACTGCAAAGTAAGATTTTGCCCTATAAGTAATGAGTAAAATTATTAAATGTAATCTTATGTTTCATTACTGGCAGCTTGTCATAAAAAAGGAATTAAGGTTGCAAATTTTCATAAAGTGGATCAGCATTTTCACTCATTTGTAGTGAAACCTACTCAATCTAATCTCTTTTGAGGCTAGTTTTAATTACATTACATCATTCAAATCAGGGTTGAGAGTTCATGTTCCAAACTGTTCCCTCCCTAAACTCTTCAACTTTAAAGGAATCTGGGGAGATGTTAAGTTCAACTAATGTAACTATACAAAATGAAAACTATCAAATGCATATCTTGGGCACAGGATCACTCAAGTGTTTGGAAAGGATTTTATGAGACAATTTAGATTACCTCTAAGTCACTAGTTTGAATATGGCCCAGGTTGGTAGTAACTAAAAAGGATTAAATTTTGTTGCTATTTCAAAGATTTATATCATTAGTAGTTAATACTTAAATATCAATTACACTGAAGTTTTTTATAATCTGTAATTACTAAGAACTAGCTGAACTCATATGGCAAGGAGTATAACACTTAGAGAAAGACAAAAATATAGGGGTGAATTATGATAAAGATAATTTCAAGACTGAGTAAATTATTCATGAACTATTTTTCAATCTTCACCTTGCTATTTTTCATATGAAAAGCATGACATAATTTTGCATTTGTCTAAAGAGAAGCAATTACAATTTGCTATTTGGTTGTTTCTAGTTGTTTTATGTCAAGAAGAAAGACCTATTTATCATGGAATGTCTCCCTCATTCAACCATGTATTCAAATGGTAAACCCCACTGGAGATAGAACAGTCTATAAAGTACAACCGGATAACCAGACGTTGGCATTATCTAATGGGTTCTCCTTTTGAGATAAAGCCTTTACTCTAAATGTCAGCATTCTCTAAGTTTAGTTTCTGAAAAGGTAATTAAGAAAAATTTAATAGGCAAACCAGTGTTTTGTATACTCTCTTACCATGTAACTGATGAAAAAAAAAAAACAACATAAAACCCTTAAAATAGATAAAAGCAACTGTTTACTGACATGATTAACCTCATTATCATCCCAATATATTTGGGGTGTGTTTTTACTCTGGAAATAGGAAACTAAAAAACTTTATTATTTAATTCCAAGCTCCTGGTAATATATATCCCATTGCAAATTTTCTTTACCAATTTTTAAATATCCTTTAACTTGCTTAGCATAAGCTATAAATTCATACTATACACCTATAATTCCATTGCTTTCTACTTTTTCATTATCATATGCTTCTAAGTAGTACTAGTTTAACTTTTTCAATTATTATAATAAGATTAGAATTTTCCCAAATTTTCCTTCTTACAATTTTCCAGCACTCTCATGTCTTCTGCCTACCAGTTTATCTAGCCATATATTCCAGATACTGAAGTATTTTCTCTTAGTGTTTTGAAGTTACTGTCATTTTTTCTGTCTCTGTCTTCAGTCTATGATCATTTCCTTGTAGGAAAGTCATTTTCTTAACATTTTCTTTAGTTATTAATAGCGTTTCTTTGGTAGTTGTTTTTTTTTTTTTTAATACTCTAGTAGAGACTAGAGTATTTGCAAGTGTTGTAGTTTTTTTTTTTTTTTTTAAGATTTGTTTATTTATGCATACAGGCCAGAGGTGTGGGGGTTGAGAGGATTCACCAGAAACAGAGTGGGGAACAGAGCAGCCAAATTGTCTGGAATACACCGCTGAAGGGAGCAGCGGGCGAGTCGGGAGAGGTCTGCTGCCCATGTTGGTGGGTTACTCCCTGGCCAGCCTGGGCTCTAACTCGTGCTGCAGAGGCTGCGACAGCTTCATAGGTTGAGTCTTTTTTTTTTTTTTTTTTTTAAGATTTATTTATTTATTTATACATACAAGCACTGGGTACAGTCAGAAGCGCGGGAGGGTGAGAAAATTCACCAGAGCCAGAGCGGAGAGTAGACCAGGCAGAGTGACGAAGTACACTGCTGCGGGGAGCAGCGGGCAGCAGGAGAGGTCTGGGCGCCATGTGGGACCCTCCTCCGGTGGCCGGGGAGCAGCCGGGGATGGAACCAGCGCTGCAGAGGCTGCGGGCAGCTTCGCAGCCCAGCGCTCAACCGCTGCGCCATCGGGGAGGCCCCATAGGTTGAGTCTTAACCCCTTGCGCCACCAGGGAGGCCCCACAATGTATTTTTTCAAGGTAAGGGATCATGACTTTCTCCAATATTTGAACATTTTCTTCAGTTAGCAACGATTCACTCTCAAGTTCTATTTTGCTTTTTTAACCAAATATGATTTTAGTCCATGTATTTTATTATGACACTATTTTTTTAATTCCCTCCGATGTAATTATTAAAAGGTGTTCTTTCTTCCCTTTTACGTTTTTAAATGAAATGGTATAAATACAAAATCTCTTTATTCTTTTCTCTCCTTTCCATCCTATTGTTTCTTTGGTTTTTTACTAATGTTAACACGTGCATGTGCCTGTGTGTGTGTGCGCGTGTGTGTATAAAGTCCTATAAGAAAATTCTTCCATTTATCTAGTGTGAATACTAAGGGTTCTGTGCTCTACTCAACAAATCAACAGAGCCTCATTTCTTTCCACAAGACATGAGGAATACATGAAGGCAGGTGTTGTGAATAATTATATCACCATCAATCATGAATTTATTTGCATGTTCTCTTACGTCTCAAAATGAAAATGTATACATTATAGTGCTGCAAAAAGAGAATTTGAAACCTGTGAACAAGCCACTAAACTTACTTAGTTGCCTCACCTGTGAATGGAGACAATAAAAACCAAATCACAAAGTTAATAGGGAAATTGGGAATTCTTGTTACACAATGTCACCTCTCCAGGAAAGTTTAGCTTAAGCTTGTGTCTTCCCATTTCAACCAAGAGGTTGAAATCCTCTTGCCTAATGTGATAGTTTTAGAATGGGTCCTTTGAGAGGTGATAAGGCACTACTGACATGATTAAGAATAATGCCCTTAATAAAAGAGAACTATAGAACCCCCTCGCCTCTTCCACCATGTGAAGACACAACAGGAAGTGAATGAACTGAAAGAGGACCTTCACTCAACCATGCTGGCACCTGTCCCTCAGACATCCAGTCTCCAGAACTGTGAGAACTAAATTTTTGTTGCTTAAAAGCCACTCTGTCTGTGGTATTTCATTAACAGCAGCCCAAAGGTACCTCCTAAGTAGCTGTTTACTTTGTCTGTGACTCCCTAGCCATGTGTATATAATACCTTATTAAAATGCTTATAAAATTGTATCTTAATAAATAAACCATGGTCTCTCCAATGTCATCAGCAGTGTCATTCATCTTTGGATCCTGAGAGCCTAGAAAGTATCTTGTAAGTACCATTAAATATATTGAAGGAGTATTTATATAAAAATCTTTTTGTAAGTGGAACAGTACTACAACTATCATTTTATAGTTCAAAAACCTTCACAGTTCTTCTTTCTGACCTCCTTAGCCCCTTCAGGTGATGGAAAAAATAAGTCTTATCATTGGATAAGAAAGTTCTAGACCTATTAATTCCTTAAGGTAAGTAATACATAATCAAAACATTTAATTCTTTCTGAATTGCTATGCAACACAGACTGATTTCAAGCTTCATCTTCTACTAGCTTCTTCTAAAGCCTACAATTGTGCACCTATTTCCCCATCCTCAAAATCTTCCCTCAAGCCAGCGAGGGTCCTACATGGCACAGCAGACCTCTCCTGTCGCTCCCGCTGCTCCCGCTGCTCCCCTCAGCAATGTATTTCAGTCTGCTGTTCTGTTCCCCACTCTGTCTCTACTGAATCCTCTCACCTCCCGCACATCTGGCCTGTACCCCGGTTCTTGTATAAAATAAACAAATCTTTAAAAACAAATGGAGAGCTAGTCCATGTACTGGATTGAAAAAATTTATATCTTCAAAATGCCCATAATGCCCACTATCATCTATATATGCAATGCAATTGAAAAATTCCAATGTTATTTTTCACAGAAATAGAAAATAAATGCAAAAATTTGTATAGAACTGCAAAATACCCCAAATAGCCAAAACAACCCAAAAAAGGAGGGTAAAGGAGGACACTTCAAATTTCCTGATTTTAAACTATACCACAAACTTTAGTAATCAAAACAATATGGTACTGGCAGAGAAACAGATATATAGACTAATAGAAAAGAATTGAGAACCTGGAAATAGACCTTCACACATTTGGCAAGGAAGCCAGGAATATTCAATGGGAAAAGGATAATCTCTTCACAATGGTGCTGTGAAAACTGAATTACCACAAGCAGAAGAATGAAATTAGATGTCTACACCATACACACAAACCAACTCAAAATTGATTAAAGTCTTAAATTCAAGACCTGAAGTGGTAAAACACAGAAGAAAGTGTAGGGGGAAAATTCCTTGACATTAATTAGTCTTGGCAGTGATTTCCTGGGTGTGCTAGCATCAACATATTGTGCACCTTAAACTTATGCAATGTTGGGCCTCTCTGGTGGCACAACCTATGAAGCTGTCCACAGCCTCTGCAGCACGAGTTTGATCCCCGGCCGGCCAGGGAGCAACCCACATGGCTCAGCAGACCTCTCCTATCTCGCCCACTGCTTCCCTCAGCAGTGTATTTCAGTCAGTCTGTCTGTTCTGTTCCTCACTCTGTCTCTGGTGAATCCTCTCACCCCAACACCTCTGGCCTGTACCCCAGCTCATGTATGCATAAATAAATAAACATTAAAAAAACTTATGCAATGTTAAATTTCAATTAACATTATAGCAATGCGAAGTGTCAGTTGAATCTCAATAAAAATAATACTATCATTGAAGTCACTTCATGGATAAAAATCTAGTTAATTGATGTTCACAGGTTAGGATAAAGAATCAGAGGAGGTCTTATATGCTTGTATTCACACAGAAAATTACCATTTACCTTATGTGGAGGGACGAACTTTACACATTCCAGCCATACGGTCAAAAAGAACTCTCCACATATTGCACATTTTCTTGCCTTAGAGAGTATGTTCCTGATCTGTGGGTACCACTGAATGGCTTCCGTTAGGATAGGATTATTTCTTGCTAGCTCTTTCATTACATATCTTGATATTATCTCCTAGATTAAAACAAATATGGTGCCTCTGATTATTTTCAAAGTGAATGTTCTGCATTAATTGATCTCTTTCACAAATTTATAATTTTGATTTATTTCTCACAATTTTGTTAAATTAATTTTCCATGATACATATTATGAATTATATTATCAATGATTGGCAATATAATTAAGTTTAATTTTCAATAATTTAAGAAAAGCAATTTACTTGTTTTATTATTTCTGTTTCTTACATATAGAAATCCAAGTCATAATAAATTTATGTTACATATTTTAGCAAATTAAATACAGTTTAGGTTAAAATTTTGTACACTTCATTACACTAAGCAAAGACTGCATAAACATTCAAAAATTGAATTTGTCCCACTAATGTCTAAATCCTTACTATTTAAATGTTATTCATGGGCCCAGGAGAATCTGCATCACCTTGAAGCTTATTAGAAATGCAAACTCTCATGTCCACCCGAGCCAACTGAGTCAGAATCTGCAACTTAACACATTTCCTCAGGTAATCTATACATAGGCTTATTAAAATTTGAGAAGCACTGGCCTTAGTTATCTACCACTTTAAGTACTTGAAGAAAGTCATTTTATCAAAAAGCAGTGATTTCCATGAACCAAATCTCTGAATTCAATCTCTATTAAACCCATTCACAGAGATATGTCTAAAAACTTCATTTTAATAATAATTATTATTACATTATTAGAAGATGTAATGAAGAAATATAAGATGACTTTTAGCATAGACACCAACATCATCATCTTACAGTAAATAATATATATGTACATGCATGAAAAATGCATAAAAAACTTCACAGAACAAGCAAATAAAATAAGCAAACTTCACTAAGTGCCCCCATTGTTTGTGCTGATATCACAGAAATTCTGTATAAACATCACACAAACACTACATGAATTTTCGTAGTGCATGGGATTGATTTGTTTGGGGCCTTTTTTTCTGTCTAAAGTGAAAAAAATGTGATTAAAACAGTCCACATCAGTCTCTGATAAGAATCTTTGGGAATACACACACACACACACACACACACACATACATACATACATACACACACACATTCTCTTTTACTCATTCACAGCAAAATCTTACAAAATAAAAAATACTATAAAATTGCTGTCTCTCTTTTCTTTATTACTCTATCCCTGCCCCTTAACTAACATGCATATGGGAAAGTTGCCTTTATATAGCAAGCAGCACTATTTTCACATGTCTAATCCTTCAACAGTGATTTTATAAGTAAGCTTAACGATACCAGTGATAAGGTCTCACTATAAAGATTCAGAAAACTAATAGACAAAGATTTACTCCCCAAAATGCAGATGGTAAAAGAAATTGCTGAAATACATGGGACCTATAAACAAGTCAAATTCATACATCCACTTTTTCCATTTAAGACTTCTGGACTCAAACATGTTTGTAACACTTGGTATGTCTCTTGACAACTCTTACATTACCCATTATTTATATTCTCCTCCTTGCTGCCAATGTGTTACTTTGGAAGAATGACATATACCATTAAAACATAAAGTTATTACTTGGAAATACAAGTATATATGAATATACCACTGGCATGGTCAATAGAATCTTTTAGGACACCTCTTAGAGATGCAATACAGTCTTTGAAAAAAGTAAAAGTTGCCTTAATTCCAGCATTATTTAAAAGACAAAAAAACCTATTATGGACAAATAGGTTGTTCCTTTTGAATAGTTTATGTGCTATTTTGTTGGAATATTTATTTGTCAGCTGATATTTGTAGGTCAGAGATTATTCCTATGCTTAATCCATTTTAATTTAACATTAGGGGCCTCCCCGGTGGCACAGTGGGTTGAACACAATGCTGTGCAGCTGTCCGCAGCCTCTGCAGCGTGGGTTTGATTGATTCCCAGCCGGCCAGGGAGAAACCCACATGGCGTGGCAGACCTCTCCTGCCTTGCCCGCTGCTCCCCTCAGCAGTGTCTTCAGTCTATCTGCCTGTTCTGCCCCCGGTTCTGTCTCTGGTAAATTCTCTCACCCTCCTGCAACTCTGACTGTACCCCAGTTCTTGTATAAATAAAAATAAATCTTTAAAAAATTTTGTTCAAAAAATAATAAAATAATATTAGCTTCAGGTACATTTTTCATTGCTCCTTATATATGATGACTTAATTTGGATTATAATTATCCACATACAAATTATATTTACAAATTGTTCAAAATTCTAAGTGTGAAAAGAAATATGAATCCTTAGAAGGAATGATAAACTTAGAACTGTTATAGAGTCAACTGTTACTTTGTGTGATAAACTAAACATAGCATTAAAAGCAAGGATCATCAGTAGAAGTCAGATAGATAAAAGGTGCAAATTCAGGGCATATGAATTTTTAGCTGTGTGATCCTATTTGAACAAGTCCTTTACTTCTCTAATCTTAGACACCTCACCTGTGAAATAGGGGTTTTTATCATATTATCACCTAGAATTCGGAGAATTAAATTAGATAATACAGGTAAAGTGGTTAGGCTGGCATCTACTAGTGAAGTATATTCTGGTTAACATTTTATTATAATTTAGTTGTCAACATTAAATTTTAGTTCATAGATCTCTGAAGAATTTCTTTTTAATCTTAACCAAGGCATAGCCTGAGTCAAAGCCCTATAATTCCTTTGTAACCCAAACAATTTAATCAGTAATGTTAACCAGACATCCATAGAAATGACCTTTACATTAAATACAAATGTGAAACTTATTATCAATATAAGACAGATTTCAAAGAAAAACTCTTAGAGATACTTTCATAGTTAACCAAATCATTCCACGGTGATAGGAAAACTACTGGTACTACACCTGAAGGAGAAATCAATACTGTCCAAAAATTAACAATTACATAAAAAAAGAAATATAAAAAATTTTTAAAAACAAAAATTACCCAAATCATTTATATAAAAGATTTTTATATAAAAATCTTTAATTCTACTATGTATATAAAAAAAATTCTTGTGTTTTTGGATAAAAGTAAGAAAAAAAAATACTGCTCTTTCACCCTGTATTTTGGTCCCAGCACAGGGCAACAATCCTGCCCTCAAGGGTTTCTGTAAGCCCACTACCACACTGGTTTCATCACTCCCTCCTCCACAAGCCAGAATCTCCTCCAACCTGGGACCGACAACTCATCTTTCATGGAACCCTTATCTGAGGGAATATTACAACATAGAGTTTTTTTGATGGGCAACATCATCCCAACCCTTTTGTTCTGTGAATTTGACAAATTGTATAACTTTGCTGAATGTCAATTTATCTATAAAAGGGAGAAATAATGGAGCCTACGTTTTTGAGGTTATTAGAGAACTAAATTAGTTCATTCCTGTTAAGCACTTAGAACAATGCCTTGCGCATAGCAAGTTTAGAAAGCCATAATTAATGTTGTTGTTATTATTATTATGAAATGCTTGATTCAAGGAGAACAAATAGGCTTAAGGGATTAAACAAATTAAATACTATAGTTTTTTTAAAGTCATTTATAATTAAATTTCAAATATGAATTATTTTCATAAAAGACTAGGAAAAAATACTGTTTGTGGAACTATAAGATTCATTCTCTGGAAGGGAATGTGGAAAGCGCAAATCAAATATCAAAAGATGCCAGTTCTTTGGCTCATGAATTTCAATAAAAGGGATAATAGGGACATGAGAAATTTGCTATGACAATCATCATTATAGCCTTGTCTTACAGGCCAAAAATCCAGAAAATTATTAGTAATCAAAACAGTCAAAAACAGAGAATAGTTAAAAATACAACATGTAATCATGTAACAGAATACCATGTGTTCAGCAAAAATGATGTCACAGGCTTACTTCTAATTGATTGGAAAGAGCTCCACAATATTTTGAGTGAAAAAACAACTCTCTAAATAGTGCATAGTTTGAAATCATCTTTAATTTTAAAAAAAACTGGTAGCATAGAATGTTCTAAAAGAATAAATATCAATTCTATCGGCTTATTTGTTGCATTTATAATAAACTTTTTAAAATCAATATGGTAGTAAGGTTTTTTTTAAAACGCTTATTTATTTATGTATAGGAGAACTAAGGTGTAGGGCAGAGGTGTGGGAGGTGAGAGAATTCATCAGAGACGGAGTGGGGAGAAGAACAAATGGATTCACTGAAATACACTGCTAAGGGGAGCAAGAGGCGAGACAAGAGAAAGGTCTGCTCGCCATATGTAGGCTAATTCCCTGAGTGGGGGCCACAGCAGTGATAGAGCTGAAACAACCCCTGGGCCACCAGGGAGTCCCTGATTTTTTCTTGTTCCTCTACATTTTTAGTTTTCTATAATTAAATCTATGTGTGCAATAAGAAAAAAAGTTATTTTAAAACAAACTAAACCATTGGATAATGCTGGTTGTCCACTGCATTGAAGCTTGAATCCGATGTGATTTTTGAAAGTCTTAAGACAAACCTGAATATTCAGTTATAGACCTAAATGCACATGAGAAGTTCAATTCATGACAGAGACTCATACTCAAATGTGGTGTGATCTACTATCTTTACCTCCTTTATCTCTGTGGGACACCAAAAGAGTCTTCTAATAAGTTTTTCCACTTCTAATACCATCAACTTGCTTGGCTAAAGTGAATATGATTTCTGAATCATATTTACTCATCCATTAGGAATAGAGGTAAATGAAACAGAAGTATAAAAGGCAAAAACCCTAGTAAAACAAGTAATATACATCCTCAGATAATTCTGAAAAAAAAAAAAAAAAAAAAAAAAAAAACAGCACTGAAGCATAAAGTGAAAAAAATTCCTCTCTTTTTCTACTCAATGAGATCTTTTCACTTCTCTGAATTTAGTCATTCTGGAAATTAGACAGGATTACATTAGATTTTGTAAGCAAGTCAAAGAGATTAAGTCTGGGACCCACATGCCAGTGGACTGGAGTTACATTAATCATTTGCTGGCTTGGCAAGAATGCTACGAAAAGAAACTCTTTAAAATTTAACTCATGTTATTTTACTCATGTGGGATATAAAGAAACAAAGAAAAAGGCACAAACAAAGCAAAGCCAAAACAAAACCTGGGATTGTGACTTTAGAACTGAAGTTACCAGAGGGAAGCAAAGTGTGGAGGTGAACTGTCTTGGAGGGTAATTGACACTTTGGTGGTAAGTGTGATATGGTAACATACATTTGAAGAAGTGTGAACCTGTACTCCTAAAACATATACAGTGATGGAAACCAATTTTATGGGGAAAAAAATTAGTAAAAGTGAATAAATAGAAGCATAGTATGACATTTGGAAGGTTATTTCGTTAAGTGATAGGTTCCTATTTTAACAGGATATGAAAAAGTAGTGAATTTTCAATAACATTTATGTCGGAAAGATGCTCAAAACCAAGATTTCTGACACAATACCTTGCACATGTTTTGAAATCAGTTGAAAGGCCTTTATATATTAAAGCAGTTTATCAAATAATGACAAATTCAGCGGGAAGAACGTTTTACCAGGTCCTGCATTTGTTTCAAAATGCACCATAAATATTTTTTTCTCCATCTTTTACTCTACTTATCTATACATTCCATAGAGGTCTTAAAGTTTATCAATAAAGAATAACACCCATGCCAAATAAATGTTTTTGAAAAGATATTATATCCATTCTATAATAACTAAAAGTATTGTCTGACAAATACATGATGCTACTTTACTTTTGAAATCAAAATATAAATTAATTTTTAAAAACTAAATCATGGCTTTAGTTTGAAGACCTGTGTGGAGTATAGAAGCTTTCACCTGTAGACTCCAGACGGCATACTGGTTTACAGCTTTAACTGGCTCCTTCAGAAACAGTGGGTTTCCCTCACAGTAGAACTCCCTCAACTTCAGATTCTGAAACTTTCAAAATAAAATAAAAACTTTATTGCACAATAAAATAACAAACTTCACTTCTAAAGCTATTTCTTCAATAGAATTAGACTAAAATTGCTTTACGTAATTTTATCAATATTTAACAGCAGAACAAACTCTGGCTGTTGCAAGCATAAAAGCATCGTCATGTTGGCCTGAACGTTAATATCCTTAAGGTCACTGGTGGCATCACACATGCTGGACAGCTGAGAAAATTTGTTCAGGATTAAGGAACTGGTTAGTAATAGAACAAAGGATAAGTAAAATTATGGGAACATTATGCAAATCATATATTTGTTAGAAAATGAAAAATGATGAAAACATAACATCCTGGGCCTCTGAATCACATACAGTGTTAGAACAGTTTTTCTATGCATAAATAAATAAATCTTTTTTAAAAAGTTACCTCAAATAAATAAAAATAAATATTATAGCCCTTCCCAAATAAATGCACTCATATTTTAAACTTTATTTATATAATAATGTATTCTTAGAAACAACCGATTTCTTAACAATGGGATAATGTTTTGAAAATATATATATATTTTAAAAAGCAACATTGGGGCCTCCCCTGGTGGCGCAGGCGGTTGAGCGCTGCACTCTGAAGCTGTCTGCAGCCTCTGCAGTGCTGGTTCGATCCCAGCCGGCAGGCGAGGGTCCCACATGGCGCAGCAGACCTCTCCTGCCTCGCCTGCTGCTCCCCTCAGCAGTGTATTTCATCAGTCTGCCTGTTCTGTTCCCCACTCTGTCTCTGGTGAGGACTCTTACCCTGCCGTACATCTGGCCTGTACCCTGGTTCTTGTATAAATAAATAAATAAATCTTTAAAAAAATTAAAAAATAAAAATCAACATTGTACTATATACCAAAATGCAGTTTTCAAAGATTGCCTTAGGACCCATTTATGTTGTATGGAAGGTAAGAGAAACAAAAGAACATTAAAATGTTCCATTATAACCTGTGGTGCAGAGTGAAAATTTAAAAAGGAAAACATACAGTTCACAAGAATATTGAATCTTCTATAGAGAAAACACAGATTCACCTGGGGTATACCTTTTGAGTAGAGAAAATAGGAATTCTCTTTTATTTTATTTTATTTATATAATTCTTACATCGTATTTCATTTTTGTACAATGTATGCATTTTCATTTTGGTTATATTCCCCATACAATTCCCACCTCCCTTATTTTGATGCTAACCCCTCCTCTCCTCCCCACCCCCACCCGTGTCTCTGGGTTATAATTGCTTGTTGATTATGATTTTTTTCTTTATTATATTTAGTCTTTTCCTGGTCCCTTATTTAGGTTTTCTAAATTCCTGCTATGAGTGAGTCCATCCAGTATTTTTCTTCTTTCTGGCTTATTTTGCTGAGCATGATCCCTTCTAGCTCCATCCATGTTGCTGCAAATGGCATGAGTTTATCTTTTTTGATTGCTGAGTAATATTCCATTGTGTATATATACCACCTCTTCTTGATCCAGTCATCTATTTTGGGGTATTTGGGTTGTTTCCATAGCTTAGCTATTGTAAATAGTGCTGCTATAAACATAGGACTACTGCCTCACAACATGCACAAAAACCAACTCAAAATGGATTAAAGAACTAGACATAAGACCTGAAATCATAAAATATATAGAAGGAAATATAGGCAAAACACTACATGACATGCACCTCAAAAACATTTTTACAGATATATCACCCAAAGCAGTGATAGTGAAGGCAAAGATAAACAGCTGGGACTATATCAAATTAAAGAGTTTCTGTACCACATAAGAGACAATAACCAAAACAAAGGGAATTATCTTATATTATTATTATGCCACGCCTCCAAAGAATGCATGTGATTTTCAAAGTTAAATTCATTTAGGAAGTTACTTCTGAGACTTGTTTCAACTGTTAAGTGGGGGAAACAGGACTTATTTCCAGTAGTGTGCTGGTAATACTGTTCTCTGGAGAGGAAAAAAACTTCTTGTTTGTGATGTGTTTTGATTTGATAGTGTGAATTCCTACCATGGTTGATTCCAGTCACTGAATACAGAGTTGGGAAGAGATATAGAAAACTGGCTGGAATGTGCCAGAGCAAGCTGGCACTATTGCACCACTGCATCTCACATTTATGGGATAATTAGAGATATATCTCTGATTTCAGCCCAGAATTTGACACAGCAGGCACTTAACAAATTAAAAATAATTTATTTAATGCATACAGGACATCATGTAATTAACTCTCAAAGTCTCATGAAATTTCTATAACATAGAGAAGATTCTAAAATAAAATACAGAGCTCAAGGGCCTCCCCTGGTGGAGCAGGCTTTTGAGCTCAGCGTTGTGAAGCTGTCCACAGCCTCAGCAGTGCTTGTTCGATCCCAGCCTGCCAGCGAGGGTCCCACATGGCGCAGCAGATCTCTCCTGTCCCTCCCGCTGCTTCCCTCAGCAGTGTATTTCATCAGACTGCCTGTTCTGTTCCCTGCTCTCTCTCTGGTGAATCCTCTGACTCTCCCACACATCTGGCCTGCACCCCAGTTCTTGTATAAATAAATAAATAAATCTTTTAAAAAAATAAAATAAAATAAAATATGGAGCTCAAGCCCATGTTGCAATCTCCTTGACTCATGTTCTCACAACAGACATTCTGATAGTCTTAATTCAATTTTCAACACTATCCATCAATGTAGCAACCTAAAGAATTAAGTCCAATGGTAGCCCCAAGTCAGTTCTGGGGTGTTGATGTGAAAAGTAGCATTTCTTATTCTTTATGGTCTATGGTAACATCACTTTTTCCTTTCTATCCTAAAAATGACATTCCATAATTTATATGTGAGTTCACAATCCTTTTTTTCCAAAATTGCTAGAAATGTAAAATCATGGCATATGCAAATGCTATTAATATATATTAACCTCATTTCAAATTTGACTATGATTTAAAGGCCATACATTTCTCTTTAGGGGTTGTGTTTCTCTTCCTTCAAAACCTGTCATTATTCTTCCATCAGGACGGCAATTAATTCCCTAGTTTGTTAACTTACTCCATAAAATATATCAGAAAATAGTCATCCTAGTAGCATGAAATTAATTGATGAATGAAATTCAATAGCATGTATTTTGCAGGAGGGAAATTTCAATAACCTACAGTCACAATATCTCTCAAAATTCATGCTAAACAGTCCCCAGAGCAGCATTTTTTCATATATCTCTATATGCAGGATTCGGCTTACTGTCAGTCTATCGTCTTGATAGAACAGTGTTCTTTACTATCATCATCACTCCAGTAGCATAACCAGCTTTATTCTCCTCTACTAGTAAATCATTGTTACAGCTTCTTAAAGTTTCTTGCACATGCCCATTTAAACAACCATTGTTTTGAGTGTTGTTTCAACTGGAACAATTTTGTCCATTTCCCATCATCGGGGTTTACTGACATATTTGGTTGTCATAACTGTAGGAGGGGGGATCACTACCCGTACCTAATTAGTAAAGAGCACAGGTGCAGCTCAACAATGCATAGAACAGTCCCCCACAACAAAATGTTATCAAGCCCCAAGTAGTTTGAAGTTAGAATAACCTGTTCCTGAGGCACCAGATCAAAAATATTCATGGATGCATCTTAGGGGAGGTAAGGGGAGGGAATTGGTAGCTGGAAGAAAATAAAGGTTTAAATGAGGGTGATTTTTTTTAAGAGGAAGAAGATTCTAGTATGTAGAAGGTAAGTGCCAGGATGGAGAAATTAAGTAGAGGATAAGATAAAGAAATACAAAATGATCTTTGCATATTAATATCTTTCAATTCTTTTCATCTTTCAGGCTTTAATCTCTTTAAAAACTGTATCTTAAGTGACTATATAATACAAGTTCTAAATCTTGTACATGGCTGATGCTCAAATAATTGATAAATAAATAAAACCTCAGGCAGAAACCCCAGATACACATATCCCTTTAGGCACTCAAGATTCACAAGGCCTTCTTCTTTAGACCTGGTTATAAAAAATAAAACCTGTGATTTAGGAATAATGTATAAGTTTAGTAAATACTTCAGTTGTTTCAGCTTAGCCTAAAGTAATGAAGGAGATCAGAAAGGCGATAATTTAACAAGAACATTATTAACATAAACATTATAAATACACATTATTAATATAAATATAAACTATATTAATACAAAGAAAAGAGGCTAAGATTTCACATAATTAAAAAAAGCAACTATAGCAAATCACCATTTACTTTTCAGACCATCTTAAAGCTCACAGGATTGCCCTTTAGCAAGAACTGGAATTTCTAAATAAGGTAAAGTTTGACTATGAAGAGGTCAAGATTTTGATAGTGGGAGCTGTGGTATCAAAAACATATGTTAACAATGGGAAATTGAAGAAATTATATGATAAACTTGATATCTAATCAAAATTGTGAAGGGATTAGGCAGATGCTATCATTTGAGCATAAGAAAGCCAAAAACTCTGTTCTGGGAACCTCTCATACACCCTGCATGAATGGGAGAGAAAATAGACTGAAAGTGATCAATAGAATCCTTCAGCTATCTGCTAGATACTTATCCCAATAGAAGAACTTTAGAGGGAGTAAAGAAAGGAGGCTAAGTGCCAAGCCTGAAGAGAAGGCCATAACTGAGTCCCCAGGCTCTAAACACACACACACACACATGCACGCACGCATGCACGCACACGCACATACATATACTTCTTCCTCCTTCTGGCCAAGAATAAGCAGTTGAAGACCCCCAAGCCCAGGCCCCTTCCTGCCTTCAATATCCCAGGTCAATTAACTACTCAAACATACACTTCTTCCTCCTTCTGGCCAAGAATAAGCAGTTGAAGACCCCCAAGCCCAGGCCGCTTCCTGCCTTCAATATCCCAGGTCAATTAACTACTCAAAATATTCTCATGAATGTCTCAAATATACATAAAACATTGAACTCATGATCTGTCCTCTAAAGTTCCTTCCCACCCCCCAGTATTTTCTATCTAAGCCATAGAAAGTTTAT